CCCAGAAGTTTTTGTTTTCTTTGTAACAATGGAAGATTGTTTCGCATTATAAAACTACGGATTGGCATCGTTGGAGCTTTCACTCTTGTATTTTTTTTTTGTTCCAAAAAAGAATACAAAATACAACCTCTGTTCGTTTTTCACAAAGAATCTAGTTTCACAAAGAACCGCCGAGAATTTCTTTATTATTAAAACTACAATTTTAACATTGGAACGAAATCTTCCCTTTCACGCGAAAATAAGAATCCTCTTGATGTATTCCTGACTTGAAGTTCTTAACCAATTTTTTTCAAATTTCAAATTCAATTCGAATTCATTTTCGAATTAGAATTCTTCTACGTATAGGTGAAAAAACGAATAAATAAAAAATGAACGAAAACTTGGCAGAAAAATTGATATCATTCTCACTATTTCTTTTTATGCGAAACGCGAATGTGATTTGAATGCACGAATGTAAGAAAGGCAATGCATAAAAAATGAGACTAACCGTGCTCCTACTGATCGTTCGATTTTCCAAATTTCCTTTCTGAAAGATTCTATCTTGAGATATTTGCAATTCTATGCGCCAATGCAAATTTTCGAGAAATTTTCGCGTGAAACGACAAACGATAATCAAGGAACAAACAAACGTAAATATTTCTGTGAATTTCTTGGAGGAGGAAGTGTGTTATATGATAATATAGATTTTTTTTCTCTTTTTACACTTTTTGATTTGAATTATCAATAAAGCTGAAAATAATCGCGTTATTTAGCTGTAATATTAAATTTTAATTCTTCGATTTTTGATAAAAATTTATACGTTGAAAATATTAATATTTTGAAAGGAAGTTTAGAAAATTCTGCTTTAATCAAAAATTTTTTTTCAGAAATTATCCTTTCATGAAGAACAACAATAAAATAATTCCATTTTCATCTTTTCACAATCAAAAATGGGCTCTCTATTATCAATTAATAATAATATTACAAACACGAATTCCTCTTCTAATTATTTAATAAATAATCAAACATTTTTCCTTTCTTCTTTCAACTACATTCCAAACTATCTTTTTCACAGCCAACATGACATTTCTACCAAACTTAAAAATCTATAAAAGACTTTAAAAGAGATAAAAGAATAATCAAATTTCAACGTTGCACCCTTCCCTTTAATTATAAAATTTTCCTTCTCTCTTTCACTTCTCCACCACCACAATTAGATTCCAAATTATCTTTTCACAGCCCTCATCAACAGAGCTTCCACCTTTAAAACTCACAGAACACCCTATATATATAAGAGATTCCCGCCAGATCGGACATTCCCAGAAACGTACGATTTGGCCCGGAATCCGGGCAGAAAGAAAAGAAGCGATCGAATGCAACCTCCTGGCCTTCTTTTCCCTTCCCTTCTCACCAGACGCACAACCACCATTTCCCTCCCTCCAACCCATTACCGATATTGTTAATCTATTCGTCGGTACTTGGCGCCGGTTCAGCCACGCTGTTGCCACGGTCAACAGCGTAATTCAGTCGTCAACCGTGCTTGCCTTTCCTCACGCTAGATTTAACCAAAATCGACGAGCGATGATTAGGAATGGAATGGGTGGGAAATAGGCGGAATGGAAATACAGATCGTTACCACGGTTCGCTCAACGAGCGAAAGAATTGGGAAAATAAACAGGACGATAAATTCGCGTTTGGATTCGCGTGTCGAGCACCGACTTCCTCCCATTATCCTATTTATTCGATCGCTGTGAACAGGTGATTTATCGGGCAGAGACTTTAATTCAAGCAAATAAGGGGGTGAAAGAACGATCGGAACAAGTGATTGGAATCGAATTTTCGCATCGTTTTTTCTTTTTCGGTGGAAAATATGGTCTTTGATGTGGTCGTGTTTGTGAGATACGATGTGGAAATATCTTAAATTATCTGTGTTTCTGGCGTGTAGATATATTATTTTTGACCATGCTCGTAGAAAATATCTTTTGATATACTGTTGGAAAAATTCGTGTTCGAAATTTGAAATTGCCAAATGAGAAATTGAAATACGAAGGATGGAGGATATTATTATTCTTTAATAAGGTTACTTTGATCTTTGATTCTTGAGGATTATTCCTCAGGGAAATAAATGGAATCACGTTTGAAAGCGAATGAGATATATAAGCAATCGAGGCAAATATTTTCATGAGAAACAGGAAGCGTCACGGTTGACCGGTTGAATTCTTTCGTATGCATCAATTTCATATCGTTCCCGAATGAGATATATCGGGGGAGCGTCTGATCGACGCGAGACATCAAGATAAAATGATAGAATAAATAAATGAAACTTTCGTGCTTTATTTCCCAATTTTCTGCATCTAGAATTTCCGTGTTTCATTTCCAACATTTTCAATTTATTTCTGCGACAAATTTCTCGAATCACGCGAAAAATCATCTTATTTTCTTTGATATCATTCGTTTCTTTCATTTATCGAAACACGAGATCTTTCTCCTCTCGCCTTTCCTTTTCTTTTCTATATAAATTTACAAAATGAAAGAGTTGCAAGAAATTAGTTTACTTTCTATACCACAAAAAGGATCTATTCTTCAGATATATTTCATTATCTATCTACGAGGAAACAAGAAATTTCTCTTTCCAGAATTGCCAATTGATCACGGAGTAGACGGTTAATTAACATATCAGTTTGCTATCTAATTAGGGAGACGACGCACTTCATTACTTTCGCAAGAAGAGATGCTTTCAAAGCAGAGACATTCGATTGATTGAATCGTAGGCCGTCAATAGTAGTTTAATTGAACGAGACGCGAGAAACCTTTGAATTAATGGGCAAATAACGAGTTTCGAATTGAACTATTTAAAGATAAGATCTCGAAGACGAGAAATAAATCTAGTTTTTGATGAAAGAAATAATGAAATTTCTTCGATCGTTGAATTTTAATTCGAGTGATTTTTGCTTTATCTTCTTTCCTTTATATTTTTGTATAATAATAAGTTAGAAAGTTGAGAAAAGTTGTGATACTTTCGATCGAAATTGTTTAATCTAATTTTTTTTCTTCTCCAAAAATTAATTCCCTGCACGCTTTTCGACGAATACCTCTAATAGAGGAATATTTTTAAATTTACTAGCACGGCACGTGTGATCCAGCGTGTTGTTTCGCCGTGAAAAAGAACGCGTGATCATCGCTTGAAAGAGGTAATGGAAGGCACACTCAGAAGTAAGATTAAAATTCATCGTCACGTACATCTAACAATTTCGTAACGAGGAAACGTAAAAGCTTTTCGAGCTTATCTCTTGTCTTTCAACAAATTCGATTATCAATAGAAAAATTGCACGAAAAGGTGCCACATTCTTTTAATATCGCTCAAATTATCGAATTCATTATCATTATCATTCAAACTTGTAACTTGTAAAACACGAGGAATCGTTGAAATTATTCCATTATTATATTCCATAATATATTCCATATATTAATTAAAAATCAAAGAAATCGTTGACTTAATATTGATTAAATATCACAGAAAATCATCAATATCATTTAATCAATACAATTTGAAGATCATCGACATGGTGATACTCATTTCAAGAAAGTCATTTCAAGAAAGTCATTTCAAGGAATTCTTCGATATTGAGACAATTGTTGATGTCTCAAATTTTTTAAACTTCGAAAAGGAAAGGAAATTCAATTCAACGAATAAATATTTTTTTTTTATCAACGTATCGTTCGTTCAAATTGTAGGGAGGAAGAAGCATCATATTTCTATGAAATAAAACATTATTCTCGACACATATTCTAAACCCAATGGGTTCCGCGCAATTTTATCTTTTAGTATTCTTCTCAATATGCATCCTAATGTTCCTCTCTTGCTCTCAAATTATCATAGAAAATACATCAAGCACCGCCATTAGCATACAACTTGGATCGCCGCAATTCGGTTTCATTCTTCCGCCTCTTTACGAAGAACAGTCAACCATTCCTGAATAAATAAAATACATTAACCACTTTTTTTACGCGATCCTACCACCCATAATAATTTCAGAACAATCCAACTGTTGAAAATATCGGACGAATGTAACGCGTTAACAGGAGAAAAATCGTTTAAAATTTAAACTGGAGGAAAGGAGGATAGCGTCATAAATGGACGTGGTTAAATTTTCTTATCATGCTAAATTATAATGAATGTACTCTTGTTAATTCTGTCGCGAGAGCTTGCGAGTTTGAAAAGGCCAGATCTGGATGAGAAACGCCGTCAGGTTTCAAGGATCGAGTGAACGAGACAAACTGATCGCGAAGTAGGCCGGTTGAATCTATTAAAAAGTTGCCAAGAAAGTGCCGTGCTCCTCTCTTGTATTCTTATTAGTAGAAATTCCAGGCTGCTGTTAGCGAAATTTGTTTTTTGCGATGGTGGGATTAAAACGAACGTTCAAAGGAATTAGACGTTTTTTAAGATTCTCGAGAAAAAACTCGTTTCCCCGTTGATTATGCAAACGATCGCTCTTCGATTAAGAGTATTTTCGTTATTTCGCAAACTTTGTTTTCAACTAAATTTATTAGAAGCTCGATATTTATGAAATGAGAGTTAAGAGAAACTTAACTAATTTTTTCATCTGAACGAGTTAATACTGTCTGTTTATAACATTCTGGCAATCGAAGATTTAAGGAATTCGGCAATCAGGAATCCTTTTCAACGAAATTTCTTTCCCTGTTCAAAAAATTTTGTATCATCCTCCGTTAAAAATGAAATCACACGTTGATCTATTATTTATAATGCAACTATCTTCCTCCTCAGAAAACCTTCGAAATCAAATATTTTTCATCCAAATCTCGATACCATGAATTTTCCTGCATATTTTAGAAAAATCACTCGCAAGAGTATCGATTAAGAAAATATTACCCCCTACTAAAAGAGAACAAAGAAAACCTGCCGCTATTATTAACCCAAATTCGAACGAACAACGAACAACCCCAACACGATGAAAGAAAGCATCAATAAATAAGCATCGATTAAACAACAACGTACTCACCTTGGTGTAGACACCGGCGCTGGACAGTTCGTTCTCGATGACCATCACGATGATGCCGAACATCCCCATGACGAGGGCGTAGTCGCTGATGCGTTTCCGCTTCTCGAAAAGGGCCTTCCGCCTGCCGAGCCGGTAGCCGACGTTCGGTTTGTGCTTCGAGCCCGGCCCGATGCTGCCCGAGGGGCCCTTCACCTGCCCGCCCCCGGCCAGGACACGCTCGTCCACGTAGCGGGGGTACTCCGAGTGGATGCCGACAAGGGCGATACCGGCCTCCTCGCCGGTCCCGGTAGCGCCGCCGCTACCGCAACCAGCACCGCCGCCACCCCCGGCGCCCCCCACGCCGCCCCCGCCGCCCACGCCGCCGCTGTTCTTCATCGCCCCCGGGATCGAGAGTGTCGACACTGGCTTCCGTAGCTGGAACAATTTCGATCGGCGAGTTAGTTGAGTAAGGATTTTTTTGGGGGAGGGGGAGGGGGGGAAGATTTGGATGGAAGGATTGGATGGAAGGATGGGGAAAAAGCGTGTCCATCACTTTTGTAGTTGGAAGAATTATTGATGGAATACGATAAATGATAATTTTGTATTAATTTGATTGGATTATGGAGGTGGAAAGAAGAATGGACGGAGTAAAATTGAAAATAAAATTATTGGAATCGAGGGATCCGTCGATTACTTTTGTAGAATTGGAAGAGTTGTTGGTTGGAATTGGAAAAGTCGATTACTTTTGTTACTGCAAGAATTATTGATGAATAATGATAATTTTGTATTGTATAATGTAAATTTGATTGGATTATGGCGGTGGAAACAAGAATGGATGGAGTAAAAATGAAAATAAAATTATTGGAATCGAAGGATCCATCGATTATTTTCGTAGAATTGGAAGAGTTGTTGGTTGGAATTGGAAAAGTCGATTACTTTCGTAATTGCAAAAATTACTGATGAATAATGATAATTTTGTATTAATTTGATTGGATTATGGCGATGGAAAGAAGAGTGGGAGGAGTAAATGTGAAAATGAAATTATTGGAATCGAAGGATCCATCGATTATTTTCGTAGAATTGGAAGAGTTGTTGGTTGGAATTGGAAAAGTCGATTACTTTCGTAATTGCAAAAATTACTGATGAATAATGATAATTTTGTATTAATTTGATTGGATTATGGCGATGGAAAAAAGAGTGGACGGAATAAAAATGAAAATAAAATTATTGGAATCGAGGGATCCATTGATTACTTTCGTAGAATTGAAAGAATTGTTGGTTGGAATTGGAAAAGTCGATTACTTTTGTTATTGCAAGAATTATTGATGAATAATGATAATTTTGTATTAATTTGATTGGATTATGGCGATGGAAAGAAGAGTGGAAGGAGTAAATGTGAAAATGAAATTATTGGAATCGAGGGATGCATCGATTACTTTCGTAGAATTGGAAGAGTTGTTGGTTGGAATTGGAAAAGTCGATTACTTTTGTTATTGCAAGAATTATTGATGAATAATGATAATTTTGTATTAATTTGATTGGATTATGGCGGTGGAAAGAAGAGTGGGCGGAGTAAAAATGAAAATAAAAATTATTGGAATCGAGAGAGTCGATTATTTGGAAAAAAAATGTGTCAATTATTTTCGTAATTGCAAAAATTATTGATGAACAATAATAATTTTGTATTAATGATTGGATTAAAGCGATGGAAAGAAGAATGTAAAAGTGAAAATAAAAATTATTGGAAAGTGAAGGGTGTCGATTATTTTTTTCGTGGAATTGGAAGAGTTGTTGATTAGAATTGGAAAAGTGTGTCGTACTTTCGTAATTGAAAGAATTATTGATGAATAATAATAATTTTGTATTAATGATTGGATTAAGGTGATGGAAAGAAGAGTGGATGGAATAGAGATAAAAATAAAAATTATTGGAAAATCAAGGGTGTCGATCACTTCCATAGAATTGGAAGAGTTGTTGGTTAGGATGATTAAGGAAATTGATGCAGGATTGTGCCGATTTCGATGATTGGATGGTGGTGGGAAGAAGAGTGGATCGTTCACTGTGGCGGGAATCTTTCTCGTAAAATGTATTTAAAACGAAACGGAAGAAAATATAAGAAGATGGATCTTGGGAAATCGTAGAAATGTCAAGTTAAACCTTACTTTAACTTAATTTATTTCGTTATATTTAATTTAACTATTTTTTAATAAATTTATTATCTAGAAATAAGATAGAAAGAGAATCAAATAAATCGTTTTGCTAATTTTAAGTTCTAATATATAATAAATACCTACTAAAATAAAAAAATCTGCACCAAATATCGGTAAAATATGAACTAAATCTCGCCATCATTATCGTTTCATTTTTATCTGAAAAGCTGAAACGCGAGTATAAAAATACGAGACAAAGGCAATGAGGTATCGAGCGCAAGTCGCACGAAACCTTTGTTCCAGTTTAGAAATGAAATAAGATCTCGGTGGTAAAGTTTATAAGAGGTGGACATTTGCGAAATCGAAGTGGATGTCGATATACATGTATATATATATATCGTTGAAATAAACGGATGGAAACGTCGAAAACCGTGGAATTCGGAACGACGACAAGTTGCGTCGTTTACGAGTGCTCGTCGATTCGGATCGCGGGGAAATCCGGTCAAGGAGGCGATCGGCGTCGCCTTGGAATCTCGATTGGCGGAGATCGATTGTGTTTAGTACGAGGCGGGGAATGGATAGCGACGTTCGAGGCGGAAATCAAACGAGTTCGATCGGAAAATAGGTTTATTCTCTACGCTTCGAGTATCTGAAAAATGCGAAAAATAAGTGGAAAATAAAATTCTACGAAAATGCAATATAACGACGATATTACATTAAGATATAAAACAAAAAAAAAAAAAAAAAAAAAAAAAAAGAGGATTTATCCTGTTCCGATATATGAAATTTCGTTCGAAAATTTTAATGAAAATATCTTCAATGCATCGTAATTAAGATTGTCGTATGCGATACTTATTTCCAAAAATAAACACATTAATCGCGTAATTTACCTTAAAACTCGATTAAACTCTATTAAAATTAGGAAACTTTGAACCGCTATAATAACTTCGAAGATAATGACTTTCAGTCAATCAACGAAGGGCCATTAGAACCACTGAAGTTTATCCTTTAAAACGATTTATCTCGACACAATTTTTAGTTGCTGTGATATCGTCGTGTAAGGAGAAGTGTAACTTTTAATCATTTATCTCAAACCCATTCAATCGTATTAAAATTAGAAAAATTTTGTATCGCTACAATTTCGAAAATAACGACTTCCGGTCGATGAATCAACGATCATTAGAAGCATGGAATCTTGCCCTTTAAGACGCTTCTTGATTTATCTCGATACGATTTCCGGTTCCCGAGATATCATCGTGTCATTTTTGATCGTTTATTATACTCGTCGCTTGAACCTTTTGCTCACACCTCGTCTCACTGACTTATCCCAAACTCCAAACAAATGTCAAACATGATTCTTGGAAGAGCTGTAATACTCGATTCCTAGAAATACGTATAAATACTATATAATACGTATTTCCAAGAAAAGATATAGGTCAGTAGATCACAGCCACATTCATAATCTTTGCACTGTCTTAATTATGGAAATTTTTAACGTTTATATCTCCGATAACCGATTATAATATCGAGATGAAACATTATAGTTTCTTCTATTTTATGAGTGTATTTTCACGATAAAATTCTTTGTTTCTTCCAACGTTTCTTATATGAAAGCTGGAAATTTCTTTGTTATCTAAAGTATATAGAGACATCTCTATAAAATAATATAGAAAAAACTAAAGTAATATTTTCGAGAATATATATAAGAAATTGTTACGAGTATCAATGAAAAATATATTTTATCAAAGGACAATCTAAATGTATTAGTCCAAATGATATAATCTCTGGTATAAGATTTAAAAATTTACTACGAAACATTCAATGAATAAAATAAAACTAGATCATTCCTGCTAAATATAAAATTAACAATTAACCCGTATAACTTTAATTCAACCAACACGAATTTCCTTTGTAATACGAAGTACAAATGAGGTCATCACCACGGTGCTCGTACACGAAAAAACTGATTCAATTTTCATTTCAACGGAATACCGTTCCCAAAATTATCCCAAACTCATCTTAAAACTCGAGAAACGTTTGACAACGTTTAATCGTCTCATTAATCGCGAAACACCGCGATGAAATGCACGAAAATTCCTACGTGAGTGGAAAAGTTATCGTTGCGCTTTTAATAGCGCGCGACAGAGCTCGTGTCAAAGGAGAAGAACAATGGCGGCGTAGGCCGAAATCAGACAACGAAAATCAGACCAGACAAGAGCGCGTATTAAATTGCATCGATGCACGCTGGAAATACCGATGAAACAATTACGGGTCGACGTTAAGACTGACACCGAATGGAACCCATAAAGGGGTGGTTTATTCATCGTGCTTGAAATTACGCGAGACCTCGCGAGAAAATTGAATTTATGGCGGATGATCGATACTCCACGGGAGCGGAGTGGAAACGAAATATTCGGTTCACGTTGTTTGCGGCAATAAAAATTGTAATTAGATCGTAGAGGTTTAGAGCTCGAAGAAAGGGGCGGAGTCTCTGCTTTTGTTTGAGTCCTTTGCTATCGAACGTGTCGTATTGGCAACATTCTTGCGTGAAAATTTTTATATTAAACTGGTTGAATTCTTTTAATATATCGGCAAACTTTTAATACAAAATTACGGGAGAATATTAATTTTATCGAAACTAATACGATATACGAGTAATTTATTTTGGGATTTTAACGAGGGATATAAAGGATATATACGATAAGGATGTACGAATATTCTTTTACTTTTTCACAATCAAAGCTACTCTAACTTTCCTTTGATTTTATTATACTTGTACAACTCGCCAAGATCGATCTTTGACCTCTGCTCTACAATTCAACGACGCTTCTTCCAAATTCTCACAATTTCGCCAATTTCAAAAGTGACAGTCGGAATTTTTCAGATTCCTATTTCCTCTACTCGCGTCTCATAATCGAGCGAATATTTCCTTTTTAAATTATTATTACATTTTCTATTATAATTCCATTTCTAACACAAAATCACGTGTCAGATTCGTAATCATAATCGACACGAGTTTTTTTCTACAAAATTCGAAGGAGCTGAACCACGCACCTTGAATCGTTACACACATCCTCGCCCGCTTCGAATCGACTTTTTATCGCAGAAAAAGGGGCGAGAAAATGGCGAGCGAGGGTGAGTATGGCCGCAAGGCGGATAAAATTTGGGAAAATGGTTGATGGTGATTTTGCCGCGAGGGAAGGCGGAAACTCGAGGCGGAAATAGAAATACAATCTGGCGTGGCACGCCGCCACGCGCAATATAGGAAATGTACGACGAGAAAAA